AATTTTCAAAACAAATGACTACTCAAGTTTTCACTCAAAAGCACAAAAAACTTTAAAATTCATATTAAACTGAAAGCAGTTTAAAAGCAAGTGTCTAAGTAACAACATTAATGAATAAAATTGACCCGATAACTGCACTACCCTGTAACCATTTCTAAATACCACAAAAAAATAAGGATATCTGATACAACAAAAATCTGAATAAAGTCGTACTTGATATTTCAAAACTCCTTCCTTAACAAACGCCTTGACCCCAAGTATGGCTTCCACTTCATATTCACCGGGCTCTTCGTCTCCCGACACATTTTTTTCATCCTAAAAATGTGTTACACCGATGGAAGAAGCAACAAAAACACCATCTGTTTAAAAAATCCAATAAAGTTGATAAGAGTAGAAAAGAGAAATTTCATTATATAAATGTGGTTTCATTTACCTGAAAAACAAACTCCGACACCACAGGGTTACAGAAAAATATTAACAGCCAATAAAAATTCCTTATTCAAAGCTCGAAAAGTAAAATTTTAAAACCAAAAGCAGTATCAAAAGATGACTACTCAACAGCTTTTTAAAAAGGCTACTAGAGAAAACTGTGAGCACTAACTATCATTTTGTCATCGCCAACAGAAATTTCAAAAGACTAATACTTCAAAAAAATATATCAATTCGCTAACGTTAATAGTTTCGTCCGCAGTCACTGTAACATTCTCCTGTTCGTCCATTCCGCCTAAATGCTGTAAAATATTAACTAGCCCTGCTAAAATAGAATATGAAATCGCTGATTAAGTTATTGCCTTAAGGTGTCATTACTGCGCAATATCGCCGAGATATCTTGAAAAAACCTTAGTCTTCTTCAGCATAATTATTTGGCTTTTCAAAAGAACTTTCCATTGCTGATACTGTACTGCCTATGTAACTCTGACGTAAATGAATTCGCCCATATTTTACTCAGCTGTTTACTTAAGCTAGTTGAAATGGGAATTTCACTAACTACTGAGCTAAAACAATCAGCAGGCTTCACTGCAAGTAATAATAGTTTCTTACATATGTTAGTACAACTTTTGCTCATCGTTCATCGCAAAAAAGTCAATTGAAATTGGTTATCTACGCGCATCTTCAACAGCAAATATAGAAATTTAAACATTTGCAAGTAGTTACTTCCTAGATCAAAGAAAAAGTATTAAGCTTTTCAAAGTGAACAGTGTAAGTGCGGTAAAACCTTCCCAAGTGTAACGCTGATAATAACACTTAGCCGATAACAGAAATGACAAAAGAAATTTCGCCCATTTTCTTGAAAAATTGACCAAAGGACTTCAAGAACATTTAAATCAACTCCCCGTCGCATATGCTAAACCAAAACGAGGAACGATTCAAAATAAACAAAGAAATGACATAACTAAGGGAGTGGTGCAACAGTGATTACCAAAAGCCCACAGTAAAACATCTCAAAAGCCAAGGTTCCGCTTCAACCCTCAAAAAACGAAAAAAAAAAATAATGATAGTAATAAAAAACATAATAAATTAGAAGAGGAGTACAAAGGCACCAAAATGCAATAAGTCATTAAAAAAATTTTCAACCACAACTTCCCATTATCGGATATGCACCGCGAACGACCGAACTTCACGCAAAACAAACAGCTACATTTTCGAAAAACAAAGGCCTGAAAACAAAGCTGAACTATCCGTATACCAATTTCCACACGAAAGAATCCAATAAAGATCTCTAATCATTGCTAGAGCCGCAATACCAGTAATTAATCCGCAAATGACTGCTGAAGTTTCACGCATCCGGAAACCCATAGGCAACTTTAATCCAAAGAGAAAAAAAATGAACACCAAAAAGAACTCCAACCACTTCCTTTAACGAAAAAGAATCAGGCGAACAACGCGCGTAAAATCGTTTGGAACGAAAAATCAAATTTGGCATATTGTTTGAGACATTATTTTCGCGCTAAATCGCTGATGGCAATAATCCAGTTTTATTTTTAAAAATAGTTCGTCAGAAGTCAAAAATTGTAGCACAAAACTGACAGAAAAAATTTGCTTTTAAATCAGACGTCAGTGCTGATTATAGTTACTTAGGATACTGAATTCAAAGAATTTACGTGTAATTGCGCGGAAAAAGAAATATAAAAAAAGCAATACGGAGGAAAGTTCGAAAGAGTGAACTTTGCTCGGTATACTTTTGCAGTATTCTGCATTTTCAATGTCATCATAAATTAGTTGCAGGGGGTGTACAGCATACGCGTTTGCGACTGGGCTGCGCGTGTTTCACCTATATTATATGTAAAATGTTCCTAAAGGAACTAGTTTTTTGGTAAACTAGTGTCTTTAAAGCTGCAGGTTTAGTAAGGTTAACAGCTTTCAATTCTCTGATAATTCATCGGTACAATAGAAGTTACGCTTGCGCGAAAAACTAATTTAACGCTTCGAAGGTTTGGTTACTTATTATTCGTACCAAAGTTCTTGCACTTCAGAGGCTTAGGGCGGCCGTTGCTACAAGGACTATCCTTTCGGTTTCATACGATTCACCTATCGCCTGGTTTTCAGTAGTAGTTCAGAAAACCTTCAGTTTTTACCCCTTCCCTTCCCCCCATAAAAAAAAACCAAGTCTTCATCATATTATCCCCATTAGAGAAAGCGGCGATAGTTACGTTTTGGACATATTCAAACAACAGCATTTTGATGTGACTTTTACATCGAGAGTCAGAAATGATAGTAAAAAGTTACTACCAGTTATGACAAGGCTTACGTCAAATCTTAGCGTTAGCTATGTTTTGTTTCATGCAATATCGAAACATCGTGCAGAATAACTGGCGCTTAAATTACTTCAACTTATGTCTTGACTCTATCTTAAAATTTGTCTTTTGTAAGAAGCCCTCCACCATCAAAATCTAATCCGTATACACCAGACATACCATGTATATTATCAACTTAATGCGTTTTCGACTGTAATGTACCAAAGAGGCCATTGAGAGGATGTGTGATTAAAACCACTTGCCAAGAATGCATATATTTTCCGAGCAACAAATCCCTTTTTTTTTTGATTTTTGACAGAGAATTAAATTATAGTCAGACTAACGTATAAAAAGTCGGAGGACCAACACCTGAGTGAAACTTACAAAAAACTTAATCGAGTCTATTGCCTTGATTAAATTGAAAATTAAAACAGTAAAGTGGTTTTCTTGAATGTCAATTTACTAAAAAAAGGGCTTCACCGAAACAGCACCGTGTTTACTGGTAAAAACAACTTTGAAAAAAGCCCATTGAACTTGTCACTTTTGCTGCACTCAGTCAACTTCACTAAATATGGAAAAGATTAGCAACTTCGATCAGCGAAACCTTTACTAAATCGGAAAAGGTGCTGAGAAATTCAAACAGTGAAGATTTCACAATAGCAAATCTTCAAACTTTTTCACATCAACGAATCATTATAATACAAATTATTAGTGTTACTTTGAGAGCGGCCTTCGTTCTTAATTGTTTTAGAAGAACGAAGTGTAAATGATTAAAAAATTAAAAATTTTTTTAGTTTTAAAAATGATTCTTTTAAACTACAATTGCAGCTTTGAAACTCCTGCCTTCGGGTCCACTATATATACTACCTTCTCTTTCGAAACTGTTACTATTAGCCTAACATTATCACATTCCGGCACTTCAGGTTCTAACTTCTTCCACTTGTATGGCGAACCCGCTACAGCAAGGGACCAAATTTGACCGCAAAATTTGACACTAGTCATTCCAACTGCAGTATCGCCTGTTGCATGTATCCACTCTCCAGACTGACACAGCTTAGTGCACCTTGCTCCATTGTACGAGAATGGCGGATAGTCCCCAGCAATCTACATTTTTAATTCTTTGTCATTATTAGATAAGCAAAAAAGAACAGTTCAAAAAGGATTTTTCCAAGCAGATAAGCAAACCCTTAATAATCAAGTTGACAGTTCACGGAACCAGTTTTCAAAAAGTGTTAGGCTCCTTTCCTCTACTTCCTGACGCACAGAATAATCACATTTACAAACTTAGAACTTAATCCGCCGCAAGAGATCTTTTTGTTCTTTAAATATCAGCTTGAAGAGAGGAGTTTTTTTGCATTCAGATTACCTCATGTTTGGATTCCTCCTGTTGCACTATATTCACTTCGTTGAGAACGTTTGGCTGAATCCTGAACCCACAGCCGTGTATGCCATCTAACCAAAAGATACTATTGTTTATCCTGAAAGTGGCAGTTTTAAAAGACAGTAAATCAATGGTCATCACAGACAAAATTGTGGTCTGCGCTAGGATGAAAAATACTCGCATGAGATTTAAGAAAAAGTAACCTACCACGTCGTCAAAAAATCAACCATAGTAAATTTTTGAATACTATTGGACGCAAATAGCTACTCCTTAAAGAGTTTAAAAAATTACCAGGTTGCAAGAACCGGCCGTTTAAACGTATCCGTCTTACTCTTCTTGTAAATCGTACACATACTTGCAGACAAGTCATCAGCGATTTTGAATTTAATGAAATTTAGGGACGATTCTGTAGACGATATAAAGAAGGCTTCACTGTCTGAGTCTGGTCCTTCAACGAAGGTAAGATCAGCTTTCCAAGCGCCACTAACAATTTCGTTACAGCTTTCATCAACCTAAATCAATAGCTCATTACCAAACCTTACAAAAGGTAGTGGAAGAACACCAGATTACATGTGCATGCTCTAACTCGTCGACTTATATACCCATTTGAATAAGCTGCCTCTTTATGAAGCTCATTGAAACACTATCATTTACTACGATTCTGACCAGTGAAAGGCGGTTAAAGCGCTTGTAAACTAATTAAAAACAATGCTTTCCATTACAGTTATAGAGTTGAACTCCTAGCTGGACTACTGACTTCGTTATGCAGTAAAATTTACTCAAAAACCGATTACATAAATAACAGAAACGAATATTCTGAAAACACATGTCTTAACTGTTTTAAGAAATTTTAATTCTTCAAGAGTTCCCTATCGCTGAAAGAAAGATGAAGGGTTACCACACCTGGAACGATTTCAGTTGATGCCAAGTACGATTAATTTCATCAAAGCCGTACAGATTTTTAAAAGAAATCCCTCCAAAATGGCTGTAGAGCAAAAGGAGGATTCTGGATTTCACCACAAATATTATTTCCTCCAGATTTTCGTCTTCACAAACCGGTGGATATGTGACCTTTTGCGACCATTGCTTTGAATCCAATCCAAAATAGATTGAGTATCCTCCTCGATAAGTAACATAGTGGCCAAAGTTATGTGTTGGTTGAGGAACATCTAAAAATGTAGCCGAATTATTTGTGGATGGTCTCCTTAAAAAAATTTGTTAAAGTATCACATAAAATGATTTCATGAACGGTCTGAAAGCCGTTAAATGACACCAGTTTTTCTGATGATAACAAAACTGCGGAAAAAAAATCTACTTATAGCTTCTCACTGACAACAACTAATTACTTCACAATTTAGTATGGCAAGTAATTAGTTGTTGTCAGTGAGAAGCTATAAGCAGATTTTTCATCACAGTAAAAAACCATCAAATTAGGTACAATAATTAATCCGAATAATATGAATAATAATAATATAATCCGAATAATATTAATCCGCTCCTTTTAAGCGAATTGCTTACCTAACCTGACAAACACGAGCAGTGAACAACTTTTCTTTCTAAATGTACTGTTTCACTTACAAAATAAAACAGGTGAGCACATATATTATTGTGCTCCTAATATCAATATTACCCTCGCTCCCCCAGCATCGAACTGCAAACTGCTACTGAGTTCAAAAATCGGCTAAAAGCGAAACCGTGGTGAACAACAAGTATGGTGAGGGTATCAGCCCCAACAAAATCATTGGCTTTTTACGTCTTTTGCAGCACGATATATTAATAAGTGGTGTTAGACAATTTTGCGCTGCTTAAGATTAGTAACATAATTTTAATTGATTAAATGAAGAAGCTTGTTTGAATAAGTAAGAAATACTTTTGCAGAAGGACTCCAGTTTAACTTACATTTTCGGCTAAACAGCCAAATTTTATTGCTCAGAAGAACGGTATGATGATACTCCTCAATATCTGTCAACTCATTCCACGGCGATTCTCCAATTTTCTCCATAATTTTTTGGAAACGCTTGATTATAAATGTCAGGATATTAGACCAAAACTACAATAAAAAATAAAAACAAATGTTTTTTTAACGTCCACAGGCACACACTGTCATTGAGACAACCAAATGATGCATCTAGGTTTAACGTGAACAGCTCAGTTGCATGATGACAAATACGCACTAAAATTTAAGTATTATAACGCAACTGTTCCTCACACAGCGCAGAAACAGTGCGGTAAATATCAGGCTCTTTTTGCTTTATTAAAACTGTTAAGGATGAATGACAGCAAATTTGTTTCGTAGCCTCAACATTCTATAAATTTCGCTTATCAATTTTTCTTTTTTTGATTACTGGAAGGGTCGGACCAGCAATAGCAATGAGTTAAAGAAAATATGACTTATATTTCAGACAGAAAAATCTAGAACTTTTTGATATGAAAGCAACAAATAAAGGTAATGCATAGTAATGAAGGATGAAGAAAGATACCCACTGAAGTTGTACGGTGGGCGTACGGGGAACGCGGTCCGTCGAATCAGTCCCCGTGTCATTCGGATTGCATTGCACAAAATTTTGTTGACTTTCGCTCGGCAACCTCGCCAGATCTGTCCAAATCTGTGCTCAATCAACCAGACGACCAGCAACTTCTGTGTTTACCCATGTCAATTCAGTTCCTTTAAGAACTGCAATGTATGTTGCGAAGACAGTGGGAAAAAAAATTGAATTCAACCTTTATAATACGCTATTTATAATTGAATTTTCTTTTCAATAGAAACCTTTTTGTGATATGGTGTTGGTTTCTTTTCAAGCGTTACCGGTGATAAAAAAAAAAAAAAAATATTCCAAAACAGCTATACAACTGAACCATTCTTCAGTAAATTTCATAAGAGTTTTTAAGACATGTTTTAAAAAATTTTTATTGTCAAATTATTTTTAGGTTGGATACCTTGATGAAAGGGTGGAATGGAAAATTAAAATTGCATTCCACACTTCTAAATCGGGTCAACGAATATATTGCTTTAACTATCAGTTTTCTTTACCACACAGTGAATTTAACGTAAATAGCCTGAAATTTCTGAAATAATTCAAAATACGTATTTAATTCACTCGTAAAAGACAAAATTAAATTTTATTTAAGATATGGATAATTACCCACATTTTGGTAAAAATGTTGGGAGGAAATTGGTTGCATATGCCTAGTATGACAAAAATTGGAGTTCAAATAAAACTTCTGGAAAGTACAGTTTTCTTTTAGTGGCCAGAAACAGTGGATATACCAAAAATTACTCAGTGTTCTTCTACAGCAGCTGAAAAATCTAACAGGACAGTAAGGTTTGTGACTCTATAAATGAAGGTAAGAGAAATTTATGAAATATTTCAAGCTAGTTGTAGAAAGACTTCATAATTTTAGCTTTTAGTTCAAAAACTGTTACACTAATTTATTGAAACTATGTTAAAATCAAAAAACGACTCGCTCGAGAAATAATAATCAGAGATTTCCTGTCATAAATTGACCTAAGTATTTAAAGTTTAGTGAAATTTTTGGTAGGATGATTATGTTATTCACAGGAGAACACGGTGATGCAAGTTTAGGTTGTAGGTTTATGCAAAAGCTTTAAAAAAACTTTTCATAGTCATTTAACTTAAGGT